TCCAGTGAGCGTTAGTTGTTCTTGCTCCGGCTGGTGGCTTCTGTGAAGACAAACAGCGGTGTGGTTTTCTGGTGGGTTGTAGGTCGTCAAATCAGGGAGGTGCAGGGCTCCCAGCAGTCCATGTTGCGAGAAATAGTGACTTAAGAGACTAATAATAAAAAATAAACGACCAAATATAGACCAAATTAATTACCGAAATAACTATAAAATGGAGGTATACATTTTTTTGGGATAAAAGATCTAAATTTGAATTTAAAAGATCTAAATTTGAATTTAAAATACATACATACATACGTACATAGAGATAACTTGAAATTAAAAATAAAAATAAATTTTTATTGAATTAAATTTAACAACTAACCATAACTGTTATAAAATACATAAATAACAAAAAAAAAATTAAATTCTGTAATAAATTATAACTTATAATAAATATAATCACATTTATATAAAAGGCACTGGCATCAGTCATTTAATGGGTTATATTTTTTTTGGTGGGCTGCAGCTAATTTATAATATTCGCCTTTCGTTTTTCTAAATCTTGGGCAAGACGACTAATCTTGTTAGTTACCTTCCCCGCTTCTTTTTTGGGATGGTTCACTCCTTCAAACATTAGTTGAGCCATACATATTTTATTCATTTTTTTTTATTTTCTGCACCCTTCCTTAATCGTTCAATTTAAATTTGTTTATGTCAGTACTAGTACATTTAAACTTTGTTTTTATTAAATAATATAAATGTATAATTTTTAATAATCAAAACTATAGTTATACACTTACCTTTGCTATCGTCTGAACATATTTTTTAGGGTTATGGAATGGATGATAAAACATAGAATAGGAACACATTCTTTGTCACATGTTCTTTGATAGATACTAGGTACTTACTAATTTCAAGGAAAATGCATATAGGTAGTGTTAACCTAGCGAACCGAAACTATAAACGTAAACGAAACCCTAGACCAAACCAGAAACAATTCAGCAATAATTTTGGCGGGCGGTTCGGGTCTGGACGGCGGGTACTTTAAATGTAAACTGCGAAGTTTTCGAATGTTTCACTTGGTTTACTGTGGTTTCGATATTTATAAAACTGTGAATATTTATATTATTTTTTAATAGTTCATTTTAACAGAAAATATAGACTTTATAGACTTTAGGTAAAAAAATAGACTTTTATAGACTTGAGACAAAAATATAGACAAGTCTTTAAAAAAACCACCTGCTGGGAGCCCTGCGGAGGTGGCGTCAGGCCGAATCAAAGACATGTACATGAGGTACATAAGGTAAAATTGACCATAAGGTATAGTCAACATAAGGTAAAATTCAACATTAGGTAAAATTCGACATAAGGTAAAAGCCCTAAAAAGGAGAATAAAAATTGGAAAAAACCCAATCAACGCTAATTGTACTTACAGATTAATTTATCTGGCTTTAGGTAAACGTCATTCCTACCATCTTGTAGGAGAGGGAAAAAATCGTCAAGGCCAAAGCACACACGACGTAATATGTGATAATCAAATCCGGGATTTGCCAAAATCGGTAAAATACATAAATGAGCTTATCCACATGCCGATCCGAGTCTGATATAAATGTAAGGAAACATTGGATTAGGACTGATGGCCCGAATAAAAATCGATTAACTCACCAAGTTGAGGTTATGGCGGAGCACGCTACAGCGTTTTTCTCAGTAATTTAAACGTCGACAAGACCCCAGATACTACGCAATCATCGAGCTCTTCGGACCCTTTCGTCACGATTTAACTGGATTTTTACACTTGAAAAACCTTTAACACTCAACTTAAGTCAAATCGACATGTTGCTCATCTGGCGGTCAAACAGGAATTGACCCTTAGAAGACTTTAAATTCCTATTGGACTTTCACGCGCATGCGCGCCAATCCCACGAGGAAACTTTTAAAAATGAAATTTGAAATGAAATGAAATTTGAAAGAGGTATATATTAAAATTTAAATAAACTAGATCCGAAACCATTATATATGAAGGAAAACAAAGAAATATATTTAATTTAAAACACTGAATAAAAATATAGGCAACCCGGTTAACGACCGGTTTTGACATTTCAAAAGTAAACAAATGTTCTACATGGCATATTTAAAAGAAACTTTGAGACATTAGCAAGATATAATAAGTGCCTCTAACGCTCAAACAGATACAACCTATAGCAAGGTAACTTAAAAGGTAAGGTTGATAACCACATAGATACATTTGTTCGTTTTAAGGTTAGATTATGGAATTTACTGGCAAACTAACGTTATAAGGAAATCTAGGAACAAAAAGGGGCTCGACGCTGCTTGTCTTCACTGAAGTAACATCCGGCCGGGCTGTAAACAAAAGTTAAACAAACATAGGTCTCCCAAACTACAGTACGGTGGAGCATTTGAAAACACAATCGTTGCATTTATAACTGTAAGTGATTAATGTTTAATCGTTGCAGATTTAACTGAACGTCAAACATAATAAGTACAGCCCTAAGTAACGTGTTTCCTTACTATAAATCTTTATTTTAGATAAAAGTTTGTTATCTAAGGATAAAACTACACCAAAGCAGTGTTGTTCTAAGGTTGGAATTATCACGGGTTGTTCCTAGGTAAAAATGTTTAAATAATATATTACATGAACTAAAATAAAAATACGACTACAAATGGTTTACTTAATTAAAAACACGTAGCATAAAATGTGCATGCTACAAGTGTGTCACGAGTTTTTGCTGATCGACAGTTTTGAAGACAGTATTCAAGGTTTAATTGGAAATTAGACTACGAGAAATTTTGTTTATCGTTCACTGTAAACAATAAAGACATTTTAACGCCTATCAAACATAGCTTATGTTTCCAAAAAGATTGCCGGTCCGATTGGTATGCTAGGGAGGTTATACGCTGTTCCTAAAGAGTATTTAAGGTCAATCTACTTTTACTGATTCATAGTCACTTGCAATATTTAAATAATGTATGGACTTGTACTTATGATAAAAATTTAAAACGCTTAAAAGTATTGCAAAACAAAGCAATTAAAAATATTTATTTTCTTAAAAGTCGCTATCCAACAGCTGATCTTTATAAGGATTGCAATATTAGGTCATTAAAAAGTATATATGCATATCAAGTAAATATTTTTATAAATCAAGTTTTAAACGGATCAAGCCACTCATGTATTGAATTCTCTCATAGAAGAGATGTGCATAATTATGCAACCATAATCAGTGAAATGTGGATTTACCTCCAGTATTCTCAGAATTCGGTAAAAACTCTATAATGTTTAAGGGAGCATCTGTTTATAACAAATTACCAAACAATATAAAAGAACTTAAAGGATTTAAATTTAAAAAGCATATGTCGTCTTGTGTGGCGAATTTTATTGAATTAACAATGATATATCGTAATATTTTTTCTTTTTTCTGTGATATTATATTATAATGATATGTTCCTATTTAGAATTAAAAATGTATTAATAAAATAAAATTAATTTAGATTTAAAAAATGTATTAAGAATTAAAAAATATATATTAAATTGTATGATTAGAGGTGTCCCTCTATAAACTGTATGTTTCTTGGGATGAAAATAAAGTATTTTATTTTATTATTATTATTAAATACGAGAAGTATACTTGTATTCCGGCAAGACATGAAGTAATTAAATATTTTAATATCAACACAAATGAAGAATGTGTTGTATTGCAAGATGAAGTTTGTGAGGGTGTATTTGTTGCAGGAATTTTAGTAAAAACAATTTCTAATCGTATTCCGGTACGAATTCTCAATACACGCATAAAAAATTTTGTTCCATTATATTATTATGATATTTGTCAGTATAGCCCAGTGCCCAAGACCGTAAATAGGATAGATAAATTATTAAATACCTTAAAACTAGAACAAATATTTAACGGTCCATATGCGGTAGTAGAAGACAAATCACCAAATGTAATAATTTTAATAGGGAATAAAACAAAAAAAAATTCACAAAAATAAAGTTAAATTGTATAGTAATAGTAACTAGGGTTAGTAAATAGAGGGTAGGTTAAACATTTTTTTCTTGTTTTTTTATTTTCCGTAGGAGGTGTAATGTAGGAATAAAATAAGTAAGAATACGATAATAATAAATCAGTCTGTATATATTAAATTTAGGTTAACTTATGTAATGTAAACAAATTAATATTATTAGTTGTTTAATATTTAGCAATAAGTAGAATAAGCATTTTTGGCATGGGTGTATTATAATATGAATTAATAAAACATTCTTATATTTAATTTTGCTAAAGCAAGTTGATTTATTTAAAAGTAGAAAATCTCCTTTTATCACACCGCACATACGGGTATTTGTATGTAAAAACTGGCCAAAAACCGATTCTGCAAAATCGTACGAATAAACAAAATAAAACTTGTTTATAAAGCTAAAAGTTCCAGGAATCACGAAGCAGTTTTTTTTTGCTTAACTCGTGCGCTGCACTTTGCAGTCTCAGTCAAAAGTTACTGTTTGCTAGAAGTGAACGTGTGATTTGTCGATGCGTTATTTTTATAGTGTGGTGATAATTGTCGTTATTTTGTATTTTATATATATCATTTTACATTTTTGTGATGGAATCTGTAAAACCAGGTACGTACGTGCATTTTAAAATGTTTATAGTCAAATCAACTTTAAATTTTAGTCAAGGAACAAAAAACAAAAAAACCTTTTTAAAAATGTCATTATAGGCAATTAATTTAACATATTTAAAGGGTTTTAGTTGACTTCTAAGTTGTTCTATGATATTATTTATAATTACGCTTAAAGAGTACTTATTTAATATTACAATTAATGCAAAATTAGCAGTGGAATAGCGCGGATATATTTTTAATGGCTCTTTTCGCTCGTTAAGGGTACGCAAAGAAAACAAATATATTTTTTTATTTTAGGGCCATCGGGTGTCAAATTCTTGTCACGAAAAGATATTTATAATATACTTAAAGGGTCACAAGAACCAAATATTAACAAAAAGCTAGACCATATGGAAGAAATTATGATTAACAAGTATTGTAAGGACGAAGATCAGAGGAAAGCTTGGAAACATAAATTGTCCTTAATAAAGCACCAATTTAAAACTAGGTGGCTAGCAGCACACAAAAAAAAAGATATTTTTGAAAAAAATAACAGAAATTGGCTTAATGGCATGACGTCATTACCATTACCGATGCCAAGTAAGTATCACATTATCTACTAAGGTTTTCTTGATATAACATTAAATGATTATCTTATAGTCACTTTCTATTGTTTAATTGAATGTTTTTTTTTTAACAGAAACGAGTCTTGGTCGTCCTGAAAAAACATTTGCAGAATCAAGTGATAGAAGCAAGAGACGAAAGACAGAAGAACTTCGCTTTCATGATGTAGAAGAACTGACTTATGCCACTCATATGAAATTACGCGCTTCAGGTAAAGTAGCCGCATCAAACGTGGTAAAAGATCTTACCAAAAGCCCAACTCGAGCGCAAAAATACAGAGTAGCAATTAAAACCAGTAATAAAGATGAATCTTGTCAACTCTCTACTTTAGAGGCATTATCTATGTTTGTAGAAGCGGGTCTAACAAGAACCCAATATGAAATAATCAGATCAACCAATAAAAAAATGTTTCCTTGCTATACCATTCTTCAGAAAGCTAAAAAGAATTGCTATCCAATTAAAGAATCATATAGGATTACTGCTACATCTGCGGAAATAAATTTGCAAGATTTACTAAATCATACTACATCCAGATTAATTTTGTATTTAAAAGAAGTTGTGGATACATTAAATAAAAAGGACAAACAACAAATGCAATTAATTTGCAAATGGGGATGCGATGGCTCACAGCAAGTACAGTATAAGCAGAAATTTGAAAATGAGACTGACTCTGATGCCAACATTTTTCAGAGTTCTTTGGTGCCATTACAATTAGTGTGCGGAAAAAAGAAAGTAGTTGTTTGGCAAAATCCATCTCCATCATCGCCGCGGTATTGCAGACCTATTAGAATAAGATTCCTACACGAGTCTGTTGCTGTTACCAACGAAGAAATTAATTATATTAACCACAAAATTAATTCACTTGAGGCCACCGAATTTCAAGGTACAAAAACAAAACATACTATGCTGTTTACTATGGTAGATGGTAAAGTATGTAATGCAGCAACGCTCACGACATCGACAATGAAATGTTATATATGTGGTGCTACATCGAAAGAGTTTAACGATCTTTCAAAGACAAGGGATGTCAAAGAGGAATCGATGCATTTTGGCCTTTCAATTCTTCATGCACGAATACGTTTTTTTGAAAATGTTCTTCATTTATCATACAAACTACCTGTAGAAAAATGGCAAGTGAGAAATCAATCAGAAAAAGAAATTGTTAAACAAAGGAAGCAAGTTATACAGGAAAGATTTAGAAAAGAAATGGGATTGATTGTGGATGTTCCGAAAGCCAACTTCGGAAATACAAATGATGGCAACACCAGCAGACGATTTTTCGCAGACCATGAACTATCTGCCTCAATTACTGGAATAGATGTCAATTTAATTTTTAGATTAAAAATAATATTAGAAGTTCTTTCGAGTGGTCTTAATATAAATGTACCACAATTTGAAACATATGCTAGAGAAACTGAAGAGTTATATGTGCAGTTTTATAAGTGGCATCCCATGTCCCCGACTTTACATAAAATACTACGACACGGGTCTGTAGTGATTTCATCGGCTCTTCTTCCTATTGGCCTTCTCTCGGAAGAGGCCGCCGAAGCCCGAAATAAACATTTCAGAGCATATAGATTAAATTACTCCAGAAAATTTTCACGAGAAAACTGTAATTTAGATGTTATAAATAGATTACTTTTGACATCAGATCCTCTTATCACAAGTATGAGACAAAAGCCCAAGAAAAGGATGAAGTCATTTCACACGCAAGCATTAAATTTATTAATGCCTTCCGAGCCGCCAAGTAGTTACACATCTGAAACAGACAGTAACACCAGCAATAGTGAAGATGAGACAGAATAAATGTTTTACAGAATAAATGTTTTACAGAATAAATGTTTTATTACACATTTACTGGTTTTAATTACTTGTTAAATAGTAAAAAGTATAGAAAAAAACTTAAACTTACATCCCGTTAATAATTAGCATTCATTTTGTAATTTTATGAGAAAAAATATTTTTGGCCAACTTTTATGCTCAAATACCCGTATGTGCACCGGTTGAATTTTTCTTTACTGAGAAGCCATGGAGTACTAAATGTTAAAACTGTGAGAAGGATGAGTCAAGTGGCATCCTCGATACTAAAAAACAAGAAGACAATGTCAATAATTCTGAAAATTTGTTCAAGATTATGCATCTGCCTACGTTGCTGGGTATGTGGCAAAAAAAGTTATACCCACCACCAACTGCTCTATTTGCCAAAATAAAATGTGGACCAATAAGGACATTTTCCAAAATATAGATGGTAGAGAATATGAAGGCAGTAAATTAATTCCCTCTTCAAGAATTTTTATTTTCGTTTTCAAAACAATTACAGAAGTTGTTTTAAACCATTTGTCAACTATAGAATAAAATCAAATCTACATTCACATGTTCAAAGTACATGATCAGAAGATATTTCCACACTGTTTTGTATGTGTGTTATTATATCACCCTCCCCCTGATGTCACAAATTTAAAAAACTAATAATTAAACGAAAAATATTTAATTTTTAAAAAAATAAAGAAAATAATTTGATCGTCACATTTTCACGAACCCCTTCCCCCAAAAAAAAAATGTTCAAGATGACGAACTCGACGGGTGTTGTTGAGAAGCTTCCTGATGAAAGTGTGAATATTCTGTGCAATCATTGCAAAAAGAATGTAAAAGATTACATAGTGTGTACCAAATGTAAATTGCTCAAGCAAACTCTTTGAAAAATCCGTCCATGTGTCCATGAGTCCATGTGGCAAGTGTAGAGGTTATCTGTAAAAAGAAGGCAGTAGATAGCAATCTAGTGTTGAAAAATACTCTTTTACGAAGGATTATTAAGGAACTTGAGGAAAAAATGAATTATTAGAAGAAAATGTGAAACTCTAGAGGAAAAAATCATTTTTATTGAAAATGCCAAATATCCTCAAGAGATGGTGAAGCCCTCTCTGCAATCGAATCCAACTACCAAGTTGGCAACAGTGGTGAAAGATGGTAGTTCATATGCCTCGAAAATTTCAAATAAACAGCATGTAAATAAAGAAGAAGTGATCCCAGTAACTAACCTCAATAAGCAAATCTTAGATACAGTAACAAAATTCTTCAATAAAAACAACGATATAGATGCTACCTCATGGGAAACATAAACCTAAAAGACTAGGGACAGTGGAACATAATCATTCTCAGGTATTGAAAGACGTCTCTGATTATACTTAAATAGAGTTTATAATAATTATATATTATTATATTCAAAAGAAGCCAGGATTTAAAAATATTACAATTGAAGTGGCAGAACTTGAGAAAAAATCAAAATTTAGAAAAACTTTGTTGTTGTTGGTCCTTTGTCCAAGAAAGATTAGATTTATGATCCCCAGCTTTTGGCCTAGTAATGTCGGTATAAAAAGATTCATTTTTGATGAACACAATGATTTTTTAAACAAACAAACAGGTTCTTTTTTATAAAAAGAGCAAATTTACCACCTAATGTCGGTATAAAAAGATTCATTTTTGATGAACACAATGATTTTTTAAACAAACAAACAGGTATTTTTTTATAAAAAGAGCAAATTTACCACCTAAGCTCAAAAATTTTCTAAATGTTTGTCATGTTAATATAAGATCGTTATTGTCATGTTTTTCAGACTTTTCTAGACTACTAATTATATAACAGAAGATGTACATTGGAATAACTGAAACTTGGTTGCAGGCTGATATACCTGACAATTATGTTATTATTGATGGCTACAAACTTTTTTGTAAGGATAGAGGTTCAAGGGGTGATGGAGTGTGCGAAATAATATAATTTTACAACAAATCAACATGGATTTTTTATATGAGAAGAAATTGGAGCGACTATGAATAAAAGTATGTATTAACAAACTTAACTATGCATTTTCCGTAGTCTAAAGACCACCTGATACATCTGTCAGTATATGATGACCTGGATAAAGCTTTAGATTAGATTAGATTTATTAGTGTTAAAATACATAGTATATACGTCAGAAAAATATATGAAATAAAATAAATAAAAAATATATATATTTATATGAAATACAATAAATATAAATAAATAAATAAAAAAACATTACATAATTTGATTAAAATCATCACATAAGATATAATTTTCAAAAGAAAAGAAGGCGTTTTTTACTATTTTTACGATTTTTAAATGTTTTCTAAACGAGTTCAATTGAATTGCCGAAATGCACAACCGACGCGTCGCGACGCAGCGCGGGGCCAGTAGGCTACTGCATGGAGACCGTTCAATTTCAACAAAATTCTTTAAATTAAACTCGCGATAACTCCTTAACTAAACGTGCGATTTTTATGAAATTTGGACAGAATACTTAGATTGGTACAGCGATGCTATTAAAATACAAAATTTCAACCATAATTAATTAATAAATGCATAAATATTATTTAAGTCATAACTATGCTTAAACTAGTAGATTTTTATAAATTATATTTATATGGTTTTTTTCTTGGTAAAATAAAGAAGTTTTTCTCCAAATTTGACAATTATTGATTAATTTTGACGTTTGTGACATTTTTTAATACAATGTATATGTATATGTCATATTAAATATTTACTTCTAGCTAGCTACGGTAAAGCAATAAAATTTAATTAAAATGTCAAAAATTTAATCCGCGATAAGTGATTGACTTGCAATGAATAACTTTTTTTAAATAAATGTAAGTAATTTTTTTAGATAAATAACATACATACATACATACCTAGTTTATTTTATTTTAAATCAGTCGTCGATTAAATATTAGTTATTTTTATTAAATTTTAAAGAATGTATTTAATGTCAGTAACCATTGCCTTTAGTCAAGAACCAAACATTTTAAATGTCACTAATGTCAAAATTATGTTTTCTTTTTTACAAAAAAATACAAAGGTCATATCTACAATATTATAATATTGCTATAGCTCGGCAGAATATTGATAAACTGATAATTTAAAAAATAATTATTATAATTATAATTAACCTTAAAAATACAATTTATTGAAAAACTTTAAGCTATTTCAAATTCCAGACTTAAAGCGTGTTTTGTGCATAAGGCATTAAGAATATTGATTCTGATATGGCAGACTTGAAAAGCCAACAAATCGGACGAAAAAGATCAAAGAATATTAATTTATGGAAAGCAAATGTTGCGAAAAAGTTAAAAGATAAGGTAGGTAATCATTTTATTTTTAATTAATTTAAGTAGGAAATTGGCGTCGTTTCTTTTTTCGCGCGGCCATTAACAAATCATAGTTTGTATTTTAAGGAGGCAAAATATATACATAGATATATAAACAGATTTGTTCAAAACCGTAACACAAAAAGATACCTATTAGACTTTAAAAGTTTAAAATGTGATACTCAATTCTTATAATTAGTAATTTTATTTTGGAACAAAACCCAAATAGCCCAGTGGATATGTTATCAGCGTCTAACCCAAACTGCACTCAGAGAAATTTTCAGTTTTATTAACAAAAACATCTTTATTAACGGTTTACAGAAAGAAAATATTAGCTTAATTTAATTTCTGCAGTAATTACCAAATTTTTATTATTTGAATGTGTACTATCCTTTTCTTTTAATAATTTTTTATTGAACTGATGTTTTATGTACTATACAAATGATAAATAAAAATCCAAAAATATAATGAAAAATACTTTGATTCTACAGACAATTCGTTATCTAAAAAAAACTTTTATGTAAGTCACATGAACATCACATTATTAAAATTATGAAAAACCTTTATAAGATTTAAAGTTTTTAATTTTAATTGTAGAATTTTACTATTGTTTTAATTTACTTACAGTAAATTTAATAGTAGGAAAAATGTGGAATTAAATGGTACGTTTGATAATAATCACAAAATTAAAATAAAATTAATATGAAAACTTCTATAAAAATTATAGTATATTTTTGTAAATGTAATAAAATACTTTAAAAAATACAGAGTACTATTACATTGATAGAAATATTCTACAATATATCAAATTAAATAAATTTTACAACATTAAGTAAGAAAGATGATGTTTCTGTAAAATTAACATGTGGTATAGGTAATAGCCATTCATTTTCGTTTCGGCCATTTCCATATCTGCTTTTCCCAAAGCATAAACTAAAGTAAAATATGAAAGTGAAAGGAAATTTTAAAATACTTAAAAACCGGGCATCATTTAAACGTGTGCATTTGGAAAAATTATTCAACAACTGGGGTATAAACTCTGTCCATTTACTTGCCAGAAATTGTTTAGGTAAGTGAACTAAAATTAAAGCATGATTTATATTATATAATATAATATTAAAAAGGTTTGGAACCGTTTTTCAAAATATTATAATATATCAATAATAAAAAAATACCAGAGAAATTTCGATAAGATAAGTGATTAAAACGCTAACTGACAAAATTTCTCCACATCGTTTTTGAGTTTTTTTTTAATTTTGCCTTTTTACATGAGAGTTCCAATATTAATATATTAATAATTTAAAAACTGGGAGGTAGAATTACTTTACATTTTGTTAACTTGTTTAAAAATGTATAAAACAAAATTTTAAGTTATTCTACCATCTAGTTTTTTAGTTATTAATAAACATAGATGTAAAAAAATCTTTAAGACTTGACCTTTAAAAAATTAAGGAGTAATCTTGGCATCACTGTACGTACGCCACCTATATGTGTAAAACGTAAACAATAGAATTTGACAGTCGCGTGCAAATCATAGAGTATAGTAGTGGTGCAAATTACTTCTGTTTTGTGAATACGACCTAAAAGTAATACCTAATTATTATAATAATATTTGTCTGTTTTATTTATATATAGTGCTTAGT